GTTCGGTGAGAGCTGAGAAAAAGTGGTAACAGACACAAAAAAAAAAAAAAAAAAAAAAAATAAACACATCTTAGTAAAACCAATACCTTCTCAGCTTCGCATCGAAGCTAAAATAATTGATAAATTAACAAATTAAATGAATTTAACAACCCCAAAATTTTTTTCTACAAATTTGAACCTATGAGGATTATTGAAGAAAAGAGAAAAAAAATAAAAAATATCATTTATTATTTATTATTTCGATACTAATAACACAGCCATTATCTTATTTACAATTTTACAATTTTATGATTTTCATATGAGAGTTTAATTGTAATTTCGAATTTTACTTCAGATTTTTTCTATCACATTTACTTTTTAAGATAATTAGTAATTAAACGTTAATTACACTGTATAATCATAAAAATAAAAAATAAAAATTTTTTTTTTATTTTTTTAAAATTATTTTTTTTTTTTTTAATAAGAGTTGTACAAAAATTGAGACTACTCCATCAAGTTTAACTGATTTTTTGGATTATCAAAGTTAAATTTGAGTGTAATTTCTCATAAAAAAATCGTACTCTGAAGTATATTTTAAGTTATTTTACAGTTATGACATTTTAACCGACAAACAGAATCTTTGATAAAGATTTGAAAAATATAAAGTGAAATAATTGCTGTTAATACAAAAAATACGGAAAAATCTAGAAAATTCGCAACAAGTACTAATATATTTATATACTTTTCCAGCATTATTTTATTTTAATGTAATTGAAGCAATCATATAATACAATTTTATGCATATAATAGTACTCAACTTTAAAGATCCAAAAAATTTGGTTAAATTTGATTAAACTTCTCAACCTTGTCCATACCTGGAGACCCACCCAGACGTTTAAAACGTAAATGGTGCCGTGATCGTCTTTCTAATAATATCAATTAACATTAATATAATTAAATCATTGGAAATATAAAATAAAAATTTTAAAAAAATTATGGGAAGTGCCACTAATGAGTGGTTTCTTCCAACAAAATGTGTTCATGTAAATTATTATACTCTTATCATATATGCTTATTGTGCTCATAGTACAGATTGTATATTTCTATAAAAAAAAAAAAAAATTGATTAAACAATCCTAAATTTTGTACAATTTTATTAAACATCATAAAATTATTAAAACAAAATTTTTATTTATAAATTTTATGATTATTTTACAGTGAATTTTTGTTTAATTACTAATTATTAATTATCTAAAAAACTAGATGCGATAGAACAAATTGGAAGCTAAATTCGAAATTACAGTTAAACTCTCATATGGAAATCATATAAAAATTGTAACAATAAAAATTTCTTTGCTGTTTGTAATCCTTTGTGTGTAACTAATATCATGCATTACTTATTATTGCTAGATTATATATTATATATTGGAATTATCTTAGGTACCTAATTATTTTTATGTATAAATTTAAAATAACATTAAATTAGTGATTTAGTGTAGTGCAGTGGATTATTAAGTCAACGCTTTTGTTCAGCTGCGCTGTTTGCTGTTGGTTTCCGGATGGATGACCACCATACGAGAACCTTAACACACGCCTTACCGCCATACAAGTTCCTTCAGCCGTAATGAGGTTGCATCAAGTTCGATAGCCGATGTAAATTCTTGTAAAATCGAACGGTGTAGCCGATAATTATTTTTGTAACATTTTTACAATAATATTTGGCTAAATTTATGTAAAAAATTACAGGAAGTTAAAAAAATATCGATGTGTAACATTAATTATACTACTGTACTCAGTGGCGTAGTTATGATTTTTACTTGAGGAAGATTAAGGCCTTTTTTTAACCTATCATATACTCTCATTAATGCCAAAATCGTATACTGTCAGTACTAATAAAATAGGCAATTAGGAGACCATAGCTCTTTTAGACACTCTGTTAGTACAGTTATTGTAATATTTAATTATGATTTATCAATTGACAATAACCGGAAAAAATCTAAAATATCGAAAACAAAGTTACTAATTTATGGAGTTCAAAAAACATTTACTAGATAGCGCTACGATACACTATGTCCGCCGTCTCACTTCGCCTAACCACCGGCACCAGTACAGTCACCGCGTCACCCCCGCCGACTACCACGGTATAGTAATATTTTAGGCTTCGCATAACAGAATACACTACCGAGTACATAACAGAATACAGACTACAATTTTTAGAATACGCCGATCAGTATGTTCACCGCGTTTTCGGTCGGTTGATGTTTGACGTTTTGTTTGGCACTGCTTCGCGTCACGTAGACCTCTAACGTCGTGCCGTAAACATTAACCACGACAAAAAAGCCGGCTTTGTATGACCAGTGTTCGATAATTAACAGTATATTATATTAATAACACTGCACGAGCCATATACTGTGGCTGTGTACGTCCTTATATGTAAATAGAGGAGAACTACGAATAACGACCCCGAGACATCACGTCGTCGCGGCCAGTAATGTCGGACGACAGCAACAGTTGTACTGGTGGTTTGACAACGCGGAGCCTGGTAAGTTTCTACGCAAAAATATCAATTCCATAAAATATTTACAAATTAAATAAAATATTAATAAATCCATAGTCTTCACTATTATGCTCTTATCATAATATCTTTATCAACACTTCTCTACCACCACTCGCACCACCATCGTTGCCCGTTTATATCGACGCGACGCATTTGTGTCTAATGTATATGTGCACTATATTCACCGCCGCCGTCGTTTCGTCGGCCATGACGACCCACGGGGGAGGCACGTCGCCGTCCGCGTTGCAAAAAAATAAATAGAAATGTTAAAACATTATACAAAAAGAGTAATGACGTAGCATAATTTGAAAATATATATATATGTGATTTTAAATGCATGTAAAATTTGACGATCAACTAATAAAGTTGCTATCTTTTGTGTAAATTTTTGTTTTTTTTTTCGTGGCATGTGTATTGATAATAAATTTTCTATTTTTTACTTCCATATCTTTAATATTCGGCTTTGTACATTCACAGAGAATTACCATTGTGTTAATCTGATATTGATACGATTCCCCAACAGAATACAACTATTACGTAAGCCAACAAACTTCAATCCCTTAAAAATATAATATATTTTTATATAGTTTGTGGTTGAAATATAAAAAAAATATATTATATTATATGTAGTTAAATTAAATAACACCGCATTTATGTTGTTCAAACTGTGTTGACGTTCACATTAAATTTAAAACTATAAGCTCATATAATCAAGCTTATCTATAAACTACGAAATTCCTCATATGTAGGACTATCCTGTTTTTTTTGTATGTTACCAATAATTTTAAATCTTGACGAAAGAACTTTAATTCAAAATAACAAGATTATATTTGAATGTAATTTAAATAAATCTGTTATTTTGAATTAAAATCATTTTAATTCAATTTAAAATCAATTAATTTTTTTTTAAATATCAAGAATTGGTTTGGTTACTAATAGATATCATTTTAAAAGTAGTCCAGTTGGCGTACATAGGATTTTTTCAATGGGAGGTTCATAACATATGTAGTTTGATGATCTTTTTTTGCACGTTACTTAATCAAATACTTACCTCTTAGTTTAATAAAATATAGTAGATGATAATAATAATATTCTATTATATTAAAATGGATATAGGTTCCTAGGTTTAGTTATCAAAAGTTCTTTTATTTAAACAAATATATATTTCAAATTTATCAAGATATGATTTTTTTTAGTCATATAATAATTTGAAAAGAAGCATTAAAAAACAAAAAAAGGTATAAAAGTATTATATATAGCACCTGTTCAAGATGTCATAAGCTTCCGACATCTCCCATAAGTATGCTTCTGAGGAAGTCTATTGCACTTTTTATTTAATATGCCACATATTTCATTATTTACTGTATTTTATGTTAAGTAAAACAATTTATGATTATGTAGTCAATTTAATTTAAAAAAAGTTTATTTAAAATATTTAAACCAATGAATAATTAGAGAAAAATACTATTCCATAAGGAAGAAACTAAACTTCCCTACCATACTTGATAATTAATATTTGCGCTTAAAAATTTCAAGAAGAATACAAAAGTTACTAGTTGTTATAGTAAACAGCGTAATGTTTTTTAACTTTGTTCAGCGAGTTATAAATGCATAACATTGATACTAAACTTATGTAAATTAACATGTCGATTTTAAAGAAAAGTATAACACGATAATATCCATTTGATTAGCATACTACTAGTCATCACTTCGTGAAAATAGCAAAAGTAGATAGAGCATTTTAAATGCATGTTTACAGGTTGATTCATTTATCATGAACCACTTAATTATTTAAAAAATAAAAACAATATTGAGAATTTTACATTTAGTTTTTCTTTTAGGTGCTTTTTTTTTTTTTAATTTATCAATAATGAAGTATTTTTTATCCCTTATAACTTATAAGAGTGTCAACTTTTTCAAACGGCAACATACATAATGAACTAACTTATCTAGTAAATAACGATTTAGTTAAGAAAATGACTGGTCAATTACAATATTAAGATCAGTATTTCAAAAGTGATTAATATATTATAGTGATAGATAGAGATAACACGCAGGTGTTATTATTTTTATCATTACTTATATTATAGCTACATTTTTCCTCCTCCCTTGTATAAAAATATTAATAACTTCTAAAATACTGGTTCAAAAGCAATTATCGACCACTCATTTTCATATCTATTAAATAAGCTAATTAATTATGTATGTTTCTGTTTAAAAAAAAAAAAAATTTACATCGTTATAAGTTATAAGGGATTGAAAAAAACATGTACCTAAAAGAAACAAAAAATTCTCAATATTATTTTTATTTTTGAATAATTAAATGGTTCATGACAAATGAATCACTTTATATAATAGTTTTTATATTTTTTATAATTTTATTAGATAGGACTTGTATAATAAAATATTACGATACTGTTTAATGAAGTATAGAAACTGAAAAATAGCATAATATCTAGTTACTTCACGATATAGGTGTATCTAGGCTTAAATTTTATAAGAGATATAATTTGATTTACCTCTTCATAAAGAAAAAAAAATTTGTTTAATAAAACTTCTAATTTTCAATAACATAATAAACGAGGTATTGATTTTTAAAAATTTTTTTTGAGGTTCTAAAGAAAATAAGTACTTGGAATCGGTGTCTGGAGTTCAAGATGCCTGGATCCTTGTAAATTTTTCACTGACAAGGGTTCTTATCCACAATAAATACTTTTTTTTGAGATACATGATAAATATTTCAGTTGATAAATTTGAAGAAATTTTTATAAATTTTATTTTGGTAAATATTATAACTCTCGTTATAATTGACACATAATGGTGAAATTTTATTATTGATATATTTTGACGTATAGAATATAATGTATCATTTTTTAATCTTATTCTATTTTATTTGGTAACTACTTATTCGTAAATATTTATTTTAATATTGTATTTTAAATTAGGTTGTGTCCTTGGCCTTTTTCAACTCTATACTCTAATTATTAGTGCACCATTATTAGACTATAATTCTCATGTCTCTTTTGAAATATTATATATTTCTTTATAACATTAGTATAACAATTATTATTATTATTTTATATATATTTTACCAACTAATCCCTAAGAATATCAAGTTTTTTGTTTTAAAATTATAAATTAGGTACTCGTGTGTAATGCATATTCGTTCGGCACTGGTGGGATTCAATATTAATTCTAAGCACATATTCTCGGTAATTTATTAAGACAAGGGCTTATATTTCCCTATTTGATGTCAAGACCGGCGTTAGGGGTGTACATAGTGTGTCTCCCAACAAATCATGTAAATGACTAAGTCTTTTTAATTAAAAAAAAAAATTAAGAACCTCGCAAACTTGTTTTGCACGAGGCTCCACGATTTCTAGCTCTGTTAGGTGCATTTAAATTTTAATGCATAAACATCATATATCACATAAAATAACAAGTACAACCCCTTTGTGCGTAGTCGCATTTTAAGTACAGGTTAGGATGTCGAATGTTTTCGTTAAACTGACTGAAGGTAGACGTGTTGTAGTATTCTTTTTTTTAAAATTTTACTTGCTCTCTAGGTTGTTTTAATACGTTAATATTTTAGGGATTCATTATATTCGCGTATTGATTGGACATTTTTCGGACACGTTCGATACGTCGTTAATATAGTCGAACACCGTTTTGTTGTCGGCGAGCAAAATGACTGACCTGTGATAACAGCATTGTCAAGCGTTGTGTACGCGTCATGCTAATACTACAAAGTTTAGTAGTGGAAAGAAGACGACGCGTGACGACTGTAGCGACCTGGGTGTATGCTGCGGCTGTATAATAATAGTAAATGTATATTCACACGAATACTGTGCACAGTGTATGTCTATATACAGTGCAGTCGCCGTTGGCGCGCTGGCGCTGTTCCCCCGCACGGCACAGCACGCACACAATGTACGAGCGGCGTACTCGGCGAGCTAGTCTCATCCGGACCGTCGTTTGGGCCGTACGGCAGTCGCGCTCAGTGGTTTCACTTATTGCATACGTGTGCGTTGCGAACGGGTTATTGTTGCAGTTCGATTTTTTTTATACGGTTGAATTTATCTTTTTTCATTGTCAAAGCGCCCGGACTTATGGCGAGTTCGTCGCGCGAAATAATTAAAAGCGCTGATAATCCGTGCGAGTCAAAAAACGTCAACAAATACGTGTCCAGAACTGTAAGTAACACTAAACCGGAACCTCGTCCTCATTAGATTCCCGCCATTTATCCGAAATGAATTTTCAAAATTTGTGTTTTTTTGTTTCGCCGATAGAACTGGCACTGTTAATAATGATTCATCGTGAACCCCGTGCCAGAACAGTCATCAAATCTTATCGTTTATATTGTTGTTTGTTTATTATTCTACGTTGTAGTCTGCGCACTTTTACAGTTGTACGTAAATCTCCGTCGCCTACTGGATTGGTTCTCATGAGCAGCCATTCAACACTGGTTTCTTCAGTGGTATGCGTTTGTTAATGAACGTTACCAGTGTACGTCGTGTAGTACTGTAATTTACGCAGAGTAAAACGACCAGTGGCGCGCGTCCATCCATTACTGAAAAGCACCTGTTAGCTGTGAAATGCAACTTGGGTACTGTTTTTAATATACCTGGTTGTTTTTTATTTTATGCATTTGTTTAATATTGATATATTAAACAAACATTTCGTTGAGTAGTTCACACCACTATCACTTGTGGATCGTTCGTTAAAACTACAGGCGAACATGGACATTCCTTTATCTCACCCACTTCCTGATAACTTTATTTGGTATTAACGATCGAGTTGTTATTCCAGAACTGGATTATCAACATGGATAATTTAACGAGATCGATTGAATCAGTAACACCGTTGTAAAATTTCATTCGAAAATTCACTGCATGTTCGTTGATATTTAAAGACAAGCGATTGCTATTCCTGTAGCGTATGCTGCTGTCCCAAAAGGTGTACTAAAATATTTTAAATGATTCAGTAAGATGAGGAGCTGTAAAGATATCTTATATATAATTATTAAAACATTAATAACAATTGATAAACGGTTAATTAAAATATTAAGCAGTATATATTTTTAAACGAACATAGAAACTGATTTTGGTTGAATTGTTTTCTTAAAAGACTGGGTTGTAACGCACTATAATGCTGTTTCTTTTTGAATTTATATTTTAAATTATTATCAGTTAAAATATATACTTGTATTTATATACGATTTAATAAATGCATTACATTTTATAACAGACATTCATGTATAAAGATAAATTAAATAACTATTAAAAATAAACTATTTTTGTACGTCGTAATATTTATAAAAAAATACGCACGCTTTTTTATACATTGATCGTAAATTTTCTAAAATTGAATACTATTATATTTTATTCGATATTTTCGTATTCATAATATGTATTTCTAGTTTTTATTTTTAATTTTAGCATTGATTTTTATTTAATAGATAATTTTATATTTCGTGTTAAAGAAATAAATTCTTGTTTATAACTACAAATGTTATCTTAATAAGGATAACATTTCAGTCATTGAAATATACAGTTTTTTTGATTTTTTTTATTATTTTGATAATATTATTAGCAACTATTATTATTATTTAGTACTTATGTTATTTTGTTACTAACGTAATTTTATATTAAAATGTCGCTATGAGAATAAATTAATCTAACATTTATCATGATATTTCTCTAAAATCTTAAATCTTAAATTGATTGAAGCACTCGCATGGTAGGATTGAGAAACTTTTTTTGAACTATTCTGAGAAAAGTTGTAAGATCGAAATCGAGCTGACTAAATACTTTTCATCATGATTCTTAATGTATGTAAATAGGAAATAGTTTTATTACTCTTAATTGATCATTTTATTTTAATGGTCGTTTTAAAATAAGCCACAAGTATTATTAATTTATTTTACTTATTGTCGACGTCCATAGAATTATTTAATTATTTAATGTAATTTTAATAAGTAATATGTCAAATAATCGACAATAAGTAAAATTATTTAATATTGATAACTTGTGGCAAATACTTTTTCAATTTTAAAAATAAAATAATATTTAAAAAAAACAATTCATTATTTTAATATGCATTGTTTTTTTTTATATCAATATTCTACTTGAATTTAAGCATAAAACGACTTTACTACGAATGTACCCGATCGTGGCCGAGTGTATATACCACGTTTTTGGGGTCATTTCTACCGACTGATGGTTCCATTCATTGTTAGTTTAAGATTTGTGTTCCCGCCCGTATCAACGATTAGTGAATAATTGTTTGGCCCATATTACTTTCTCTCTGTCTCTACTAATTTATTCAATTCTATTATTTTGATTTTTTTGCAGTAAATTTCAATTGATAAAAAAATTAATGAAAAAATGATTATTAGTAGGTATTTCTAAAGTAACCAATTTGTATGAAAATGAGGCGATCACTATTAATTATTAATTGACCTACTACTATATATTATGTTAAAGGATTGTACTAATTACATAAGCATTTGTGCTTGAGACATTAAAGTTAACTATAATTTTAAGTATAGTTTTAACCAAGAACGTAGTAAAGTCACCTTATTAGGAGGCACTAATCCATTTAGTCAACTGACTGTCAGTTATGAATAGCGTTTATCATTCAATTTTGTAGACTTTTATATTAAAAAAGATGTTCATTTGATTTACTGGAACAAGTTTAGGTGGTAAGCTACCTCATAGATAAATTTTGCAACTTGATATATTTATTTATAAAAATTTCAACTCTATAGATCTATCTGAAATAGCTAAACTTTATATATCGCTCTTAATTTTTTTAATGTTTATTTAAATACTTGAAATTATGTTATTTCGTTTAAATGATAAAAAAAAAAGTTTTCTTTTTATAATTTTATTCTCGCACTTTTTAGAAATTAGCGATTATCTTAAAAACTAATGTTGATATGGAAATATAAGGGTCAGATTCTGCATTAGCGACAATATACACTTGTAATCAGCTAAAATATTGCCAGCACCAAATTTTTTTTTTAATTTTGTTGTCCAATATTATTGATGTTATTAAAAATTGACATAGTATTACTTCAATATTATAAATAATCTTAGTATTTTATATTATCTTTATTTTTTACAAGTGTTTAAGTAATGCTATGACATATTTTTTTCACAGTGAAAAAAATGCCCCCCAACAAATGACACCGTTAGTTTATTTAAGAAATATAGTTTTACTTTTTTGGATATAATAATTTTTGGATAATATAATTACTTGATAGAACTTTGACACATAATCTCAAAATCAGGGCTTACACGTTAATATCCTTATATTATCAAGTTTTTGTAACAGTTATTTTAAACTAGTTTTTACTAGAATATTTTTATAATCTTAAAATTATTACAATTTTTATATTCAATAATAATTATAATGTGAAATAAAAGAAACCACTTTTATTTTTACAGCGAACTCGTAAAGAAAAGAAAACATACTCGGAAGATTGGGCTTATGGTGATGAAGAGGAAATTGAAGGGGTGCGATCATTTAGCCTCCATGATAAACTTGATTCTGACAGATATACTCATTCAAATTTTGTCAAACAAATGGATGGAAAAGGTTTCACTAATACTATTATTAATAAAAATATCACAAATGTTTTATAAACATTTTTTCTAGATTTTACAATTTCATACTTACAAAAACATGGCTTTGTAATACCACTATTATTTAAAGATAAAACGGGTCTTGGATTACATGTACCCAGTCAAAATTTCTCAGTTAATGATGTTCGTACATGTGTTGGTAAGTTATTGAGAAGTTATAAAATTATTAATATTTAATAGTATTTGCTTGACTTTACTTGAAGAATTTTTAAATCTATATTACATTTTAATGGCCAATCCTAAGTAGTTGAGTTAAAGGCAAGAAAAAAGAAGAAATATAATACATTCTTTTAAATAATTAATACTTATTTATTACATAATTTTTAATTCATTACTATTTTAATAATTTTTATATAATATAATATAAACCAATGTCGAATAATCATTTATCTTTATCAACCTTTAATTATACATAAACCTTACCAATTCTTACATACCCATGTCTCATAATATCTTCTATTTTTTTACTTTTTTCTACTTTTTTTTTTTTAATATTTTGTATTCAAAACTTATTATTGAAAGTCATTTATAGAACTTAATTTGTGTTGTGTTAATTTAATTATTGGTAAAAGTTTGAACATTACATGCAAATACATATTTACTTTTCAATTATAAAATTCAATAAGCCCTATTTTTAAATAGGATCCAGAAGATTATTAGATGTTATGGATGTTAACACTCAAAAAAATTTTGAAATGACAATGAAAGAATGGACAAAATATTATGAAGATCCAGAAAAAGATAAATTATTAAATGTCATTTCTCTAGAATTTAGTCATACAAAACTAGAAAATTACATTAAACGTCCAAATATTGTATGTTTTTTAAACTAACCTATTATCTTATTTGATTGTATATAAAAAAAATATATATTTTTTTATAGGTTCGAGAGTTAGATTGGGTGGATTGTGTATGGCCTAAACATTTAAAAGAAAGTCAAACAGAATCAACAAATGTATTAGATGAGATGATGTATCCTAAAGTACAAAAATATTGCTTAATGTCTGTTAAAGGTTGTTATACTGATTTTCATATTGATTTTGGTGGTACATCTGTATGGTATCATATTTTACGTGGTGCAAAGGTATACATTTTTATCAAAATTAATATTTGCAAATTATAAATAATTTTAATATTATTTTTAGGTTTTTTGGCTTATACCACCTACAGAACAAAATATGAAATTATATGAGCAGTGGATATTATCTGGAAAACAGGGAGATATATTTTTTGGCGACACTGTTGAACAATGTGGTCGTGTATCATTAAGTGCAGGTGATACATTCTTTATACCTACTGGTTGGATACATGCTGTTTATACACCAAAAGACTCACTAGTGTTTGGTGGTAACTTTTTACATTCATTTGGGATAGAAAAACAATTAAGAGTAGCTGAAGTAGAGGAATCCACTAAGGTTAGCTAATATTAGATAATTTGCTTGTCCGATTTATTATATTATATGTCATTATTTAGAATTGTTATAATTTAATGTAATTGGAAAACATATTTAAATTGATTTTGTAATTTTAGGTTCCACAAAAATTTAGGTACCCGTTTTTTACTGAAATGTTATGGTATGTTTTGGAACGTTATGTTTATTGTGATTTAGGAAAGTCCCACTTGACTGAAGGTGCTGAAACTACTCCGCCTCCAGTTGAACATGTTCATTTTACTAAACAAGTAATATATTAATTTTAAAAACAAATTTGAAGTGTATCTCACTGAAAGATAAAATTTTTCTTGTAGGAACTTCATGGGATTAAAGCTATAGTGAAATATTTACACATTTTGCCTCCTAATAAAAAAAATGTACCACCTTTAATAAAAGATGCAATTGAATTAATTAGAAATGTTGCTATTGTTATTAATAAACATAAAAATGATCGACCAGAAGATGCCATTACTGGTAAACCAATTCTGAAAATGCAAGGAGATAAGGTAAAGGTTACATTACTTTTTAACTTTTAATATCATTAAATATTTTATATTAATTTATCATGTTGTATTAGGAAAGAGAAAGAAGGTTCTATAAAACTTCTGGTGATATGAATGCTAAACTGAAAACATCTCGTAAATCAGGAGGAGCAGCATCTACTGCTACTGGTCCAAGAAGAAGACGTACTAGATGTAAAAAGTGTGAGGCTTGTAAACAAGCTGATTGTGGTGAATGTTCATTTTGTAAAGACATGGTTAAATTTGGGGGACCAGGTAGAGCTAAGCAGACATGTGTTATGCGTCAGTGTTTACAGGTAAGAATAACTATTTTTACGTGAGTCACCATACATATGATAATAATTAATGACTTGTGTAGCCAATGTTACCTATTACTGCGGCATGTTCAATATGTTCCTTGGATGGTTGGGGTCAGCAAATCGTACTTCCTATTCAAAAGGCAGCCAAAGAAACACCTAGCAACCTAATGGAGTGTAGTGTTTGCTTTGAAATCGTTCATCCTGATTGTTTATTAAGACAAGTAAAAAATATTTTGATTATATTAAAAAGATATTTAAAGAAATGTTAAATTAGCTAATATATATTAATGTTTGAGGTGTTAAAATAATAACACTTTAGTTTCTGAATTAAAGTTTTTAAAATACCCAAAAAAATTAGTTGATCCTTAAAACCTCATAATTTATAAATTATTGTAAATTTTTATTGTTCTCAAAATAGTTGTTACTGGGTTTATTCTAAAACCTATTATTTGGTTAATTATTTTTCTTGTTCCTCATCTTTATCCCAACTACTTAGGGTTAACCACTCTTATCTTAAACTTCTATTTGACATGATCGTCCACATCCCTCCTTATCCTTTGGTCTTTCTCTAACTCTTCTTCCCTTATCATTCATTTACATAACTGTTTTTACAGCTTTCGATTATTCTCCTCATAACATGGCCTAACCATCTAAGTTTATTTTCTCTATTATATTTATCCAATCATGGATGAGATGAGAGAAATTAGATATTATTTGGTTTAATACTTATACAAAATGAATTATTTCAGTCTGTATATTCTAATAATGGAACATATAATGAGGATCTTCCTAATAGTTGGGAATGCCCAAAATGCTGTAAAGAAGGGAAAAACTTGGAAAGCAAAGTAATGGTTTGTTTCTTTCATAATATCAAACACATTAATTAATACATTTTTTTCACAAATAATTTTAGCCTCGACATTTCCGTGCAAGACAAAAGTCATCAGATATAAGAAGGACTTCTGTTAGTAGTAATGATGCAATTGTACAAAAACGTTTTAAAGTTAGTTAATTTATATGATAATACCTCAGATATATAAAATGCCATAATAAAACTTCAATCTCTAGGAAGAAGAAGAATTTTCGGGATCAAACTCTGAAAGTGATTTAGATTCACTTAGTCCTGCTAAGAGACTGAAAATTGAAAAGAAAGAAAATGTTTCTGTAGAACGTTCTCCACCATTGCCTTTAACGGTAAATAATGTTTATTTTATTTTCAATGCGTTTTATAGTTAAAATAAGAATTCTTTTTATATTTGTAAATAATTCATGGTTATTTGGTTGCTAATTACCTATAATTAGTAACTATGCAATCAAAATAATAAAATATATCTTCTTGCAGAATAATAAATTATTCAGCAGAAAAATGTTGTGTAAAATAAAATTTAACACAATGTTTAATTGTCTTTATATTAGTACCACACTAATTATTGGTCATCACGACCAATTACAAGTTTTTTTACTTAATAATATAAAAAATGTTTTTTATTAAGTTTAATATAAAACATCATATTTCCTGTTTAGGTTTCCTTTGTTGGCTTTTTCATCTTGTATGGAATACATATGTTATATACCCTAAAGCTTATTAAATATCAAAGATATTTTAAAGTGGATGATGTGATTTTAGCTATATAATGTCCTATAAAAATATCTTGAAATATTTGTCTTTATTTAAAAAATATGTCTATGACTTGCTTAGTTTAAATTTTTAATGTTGATCCTAACAACTTATCTAAGACACTTAAAATTTTTTATGAAGTATTAAATAATGTAAAATTGAAAGCACAAATTGTTTACAATTTTCTTAAAATGAACTTTTGTTGCATATCCATATAAGTGCAATAAGCTTTTAAGGTTTTATTTTTTATAAAAAATTGCCATAAAAATATATATTTAGTTAATGATATATAAAATTTATTTTTTAATAATTTAGTAAAATTTGAAAGAAAAAATAATGTAAATAATATTGGCTTACCTTAAATCTATGAAACGTTTAATATTTTAGGGAGACTTAACCAATTAAGTCTCCCTAAAATATTAAAATTTAAGGCTAACTATTTAAAATTCTCTTTGTAACTTATTTTGCTGGAGTTAATACATTTAAATTTAATTTAATTAGCATCAGTATTATATAAAGTGACTGTATTAATTTTGTCATTATTATAAATTTTTACTAAAAAAAAAACTAAGTAATTTAGACAATTGAATCATAAACTTGATAAATTCCAATGCTTAATTTTTCGTATTCATAACTTAGTTCTAACTAAACCCTATACCAGTAATGAACTTAAAAGCATCAATTATTGTCTATACAATAATTTGTCTATCTATAGTATAACAAAAAACAGATATTTCATATTACATTTAAAATATAAAAATTTATAATGGATTTTTAAATTAATTTTAGTAAATAACTAAAAAAACTAATTCAGATAAAGTGTAATTATAAACGAAATGTTTTATTTTTTTAAAACTAGTTTTTCATTATATACCTTTGTTACAAAGAAAATTCGGTGGAATCATAGTACTTATGACAAGAAGTCATAGTTTAACAACATAGCATATTTAAAAATTTATATTGAGAAGAGAGGATATAAAAATTTTTTTATCATGAATAATGTACTATTATAAAATATAAATGACTTTTTTGTTAAGATCGCTATATAAAAATTTCAAAAGGAACTATTTTCGATTTCTCTTAGAATAATAATTGTGTCAAGTAAATTATTTTTAGTATTTTTTAGTTTCATATATTTCTCGATATAAAAGTTATTAATTACTTTTATAATTTAAGTCTTATACCCTATATGGATATCAACTTTATTTTATTTTTTAAATAACATACATATTTAACTAGCTTATAATATATAAAAATCTAATTAAGAAAATGACTAATTGATAACTTTCAAATCAGTGCTTCAAAAGTTATTAGTATTGTATAACCATATTTTTTATTATTTATTTTTAATTTAAAATATATACAAGGTGGAAAAGATCTAACTGACAACTCATATAACTTATGATATACATAACATTTTATACTTTCTTTTTTTTCTAGTCAATTTTTACACTATATGACTATGTTTTATGTTATTTTTTACTATTACAAAAAATATTTTAAAAATTAATTTTTTTATTCAATTTTTTTTAAGATTTGAAGATAGACATTTTATAGATGAGTTTTAAAGAAAAATGTTCATACCGAAAACTCATATTTTAATTCAGTAGTTACGTTTTACAGCATTTTGAAACAATATATACATATATGAACAGCAATTTTGTTAAATTTTATTTACTGATAACAATACGTGATTATTTTCTTTGGAAATAATTAACACTTGAATAAGCATCTGTAATTGTCATGAAAAAACAAGTAGTGGTAAAATTAAGTTAATTAAAAAAAATTATAAAAACGTTATTTAAACATATAATAATGAGTAACAGTGAATAAGTGCATTTATTATCTAAACTCTTAACAAGGAATATCCTATAAAAATATATCATTAATAAATTCACGCAAATTAATAACTATTATCACTTTTAACTTGACTAACCATCTGACACTTGTAGTTAACATACGACAATGCTTCTAACATTTTGTAATAAAAAATATAGAGAATCATTCTGCAAAAAGTTCGTTCAAACGTTATTATTATCTATAGAATAGAAATGACGTACTATTACCAGTAAATTAAGTAAAAAGATAATGTTTACTTCCGTTCTTTATATAATATGGACTAACATTTGATACCATAGGAAAATCGTAAAAAAAATTAAAAATTAACAAACTTTAAAATAATGTATTAATGTAACTACTGCTTTAAAATCAAATTTTTGGTATGAAAATCTTTCTTTAAAATTCATCTATAAAATGGCTATCTTCAAATCTTAATGAAAAATTAATTTAAAAATTTTTTTTTTGTAATTGCGATTAAAAAAAAAATAGTATAAAATTTTATGTAAATCATAAGTGTATGAGTTGTCAGTTAGATCTATTCCACTTTGTATATATATTTAGATTTTAAAATAGTCGTTTTTAGAACTATTTTTACGAAATATTTTGATGGGTCGATAACAATAACCAGTATGAGCTATAGTCCAGTTCAAACTGGTGTATATGTGTGATGAAAATTCGAACCGGTCTACTACTCACTCGATTAAAATCCTTGTTACTCATAGAATAATTGTCTTAAAATTGTTATCGTCTCATCAACATTTTTCGTAAAAATAGCTCTATAAAATGGCTTATTAATAGATGCAAATAGAAGAATTGAAATTTAATAATCAATTTTAGGGACAGGGAAATTAAATAAAATAAGCCCCTCCAAAAGTTTTGTTGAAATTGTGCCTATGATTATTAATCAAATAATAAACAATATGACTAACAAAGTCTAAGAATACATTTCAAAATACACAAAAAAAATGTAACTCAAACTATTTAGTAAATTAAAAGTTATTAATTTGTATAAACATTGTCGATTACTTTATAATACTTGAAACGTCTTTTTTTCAAAACAAAATGTTAAAAAGCAACAAAATAGTCATAAACTAACATGAATAAAAATAATATATTTAAAATTAAATTTAAAAATTTGTCATTTTGAAAGCGGATATATAATAATTAACGTCAAAAATATAAGCGTTTAAATATCTAAAAAATATTAAATTAACGTAATAGTTGGTAATACGTGATAACGTTTCTGAGACAACCCTACTGGTCGTTTAATTTTGCTCCACAAGACAGTTATAAAGAAATATTTGATGAACACATGTTATCTTTGATAACAAAGTTTTTCCATTGATATTAATTATTAATCCGTTGTAAATTATTACATTGTTTGATATAATATTAGCATGGCTCAGTCAATGAGAGGATTGTGTCTCTGTCTCCTTATAAATACACCACTATTTTAGAATATTATAATGATTTGCTATATTTTATAACAACACTATTACATATTAAAATATATATGATATCCAATCGTTTTAATAATTGTGTCATAATTTTATATTTTATCAAAATTTGCTTTATCATTATATTTTTTATTCTACTTATATTTTACTATTAGGGCAGAATTACACTTATGAATTGGCGCTCTGGCTATTTGGACTTTTTTTAAGTGATCAAGAAATCATTTATTGTTATAGAAAATGTTGATTACTAAGGTCAATGTGTTAAAATTTATTTCTTTAATCGATTTAATAATTGTTTTTCGTTATGTTATAATTTTTTCTAACATTGTTAGAATATGTATACAAAGTTTTAGTAATCCTACAAAGCTTAGGATAATTTTAATAGAAATTTCTTCGATTTTAAATTATGTTATTGTAATCTTAAAACTATATATTTAATTTTAAAGAGTTTTTTATATATATATATACATCATCAGGGATTATGTTGTTTTATAATTTATATTTCTTAGAACAGTAAATGACAATTTTTATTGAATCCATTAAATGTGGTATTTTATTTATTTAATAGCGAAAAAACTTTGATTTTTAAATTTAGCGTGTAGAAGAAACAAAACGCAGCATTTTGGAAAATTATCAAATACAGTTAAAATAAATAAATAATTAATTAACTTTATTAAAAAAACTTATGTTTGCATTTTTACATTTTTCGAAATTCCTATTCATCAATTTTAAGTAATTAGAATTTTTTTTGAATTGGAAATCAATTTTTTACAAAAAAACTGCATTTACTGCCATTAACTCAACAATTTTACATAGAACGTTCAATTAAATTATACCCGAATAATTATACAGGTATAAGTTTTTCGATTTTCAACGAATTAGTTAATTTGAATTCCATAGTTTGGTATCTAATAAAAACTTGTTGCCATTCATTTAGGTACGGTTTTATCTTATGGGTTTCTTATAGCATCTAGTACTGACTATTATTTTCAATGAACAATATGATAAATTAATGAAGCTAATTTAAATATTGTGATTGTAGATTTTTCTGAAATTGTATTAAAAATAACGCATGTCATGATTCTCATTATATGCGTAGTAAATTCTTATGTGACAACAATGTGTAATCGTATTAATATTACCTAATTCCATTGCTTATTATTCGTTTTAACGTCAAACGATTTCTACTAGTGAAATATACATAATAGACGAGTGATTACAATATTGAGAGTTGTCTAACTATGTTATACTATACCAAATAGCTGTTTTAATTTATCGTTGTCGACTAGTAAATAAGTCTAATTGTATATAATAATATGTATATAGGATACGTTCATTGCTTTGAAAACTATACTATTGTACAAGTACGGTAAACCACTTAGATTGTTTCATATGTTTGATTTAGTCGCACGTACTTTCGGTTCACCTTAGTTTTTATTTTTGATTAAATATGGCGGAAATGCAAAGAAATCAAGTAAGTTAACTTGCGTTTTCATTACATTTCACGATATATTTCTTTATAAATAATGCATATTACTGTCCAATTTATGCTAAGTCTAGTATATAGTAAATAGCAATAAGTTTCACGCTAGCGCAGTTATATTACAATGCGATGTAGGGTTTGTGTAAGTACAAAACATCGCAATGAGAGTCGTTGTACGTTGACTTGTGTGTTTGGGTTTTAAGTGATTCATATATATATATATTTATGCATTAATCGCGGGCTGCGAATTAAAATACTTTTAAAGACAATTAATTGTAAAACTCATTTATTTTTTTATTATATCTTGGAGATCAACATACAGTGTTAATTCATAGAAATTTGTTCCACGCTATTTTTAAATATAATTCAAAAACCTTTATTTCGTGTTTTACTGACAAAGTATAGTTTGTTAGATATTGTTTTTTATTAATAACACAATTTTTTTATGAAAAATAAACATAGTTTGATTTAATTTTGTAGAAATGGATGGAGGATCATTCTATGAAAGTGTTAAATCGTTCAGGCAATGTGGAGGAGGGGCACATGTCAACGTATAACAACACTCAATCAGCCAACGAGCCAGCGCGCAAAGTTGATTTACGTAAACAATTAGCAAATCAGCTCTCTGGTAGCTCGAGTAAACACTGCAACGTACTCAAGAAGCAATCATATGTGTCCAAACCTTCCAAAAGCAATGGTCATAAGTCTCAAAGCCAAAATAACTCTAACGGTCAGCTACAACATTGTATGGATGCAACGTGTATGCTACCTGTATTTAAATATCTCGAACCCAGCGAACTGGCCCAATGCGCATTGGTATGTCGCGCTTGGTCCGCTTTCTCGATTGATTCGTCTTTGTGGAAACGTTTAGACGTCACTGGCAAGAGATTGACAGCTTCCTGTCTAGCAGGTATCGTCAAACGGCAACCGGAAGTGTTGATTATGGATTGGACAGCGATTGCAAAACGGCAACTTGAATGGATGATCACTAAATTGACAAGACTAAAGGAGTTATCGTTGCAAGGGTGTTCTTGGAGCGGCGTCACTGCATTACGTAGTAGTGTAGTACCACTTTCCTTAACTGTTCTTGATCTCAGTTTTGTGACTGGAATGAATGATGCATCTCTCAGAGATATCTTATCTCCTCCTTCTGACTCCAGGTCTTCATCTAATGAGACCCGTACTAGGCTAAGAAACTTAAGGACTCTAAAGTTAGCCGGTGTAGATATTAGTGACGTATCACTCAGGTACGTTGTGCAATATGTACCTAATTTAGCTGAACTAGATTTGTCTCAATGTTTTCGAGTTACTGATGCTGGTATTGCCCAGTTAACTTCTCCTATTGCAAATGCCATATCAACACTTGAAGTACTCGATCTCTCAGGATGTACTGGTATCACTGATGTTTCCTTAGAGCACCTACTTAAGTGTACTTCATTAAGGCGTTTAGATATGAAACACACATCCAAAGTCACCACTTCGGCAATCAATAAGTTCCTAAGTGCAAGTAAAAAGTTTACAGCCACAGAAACTAGACTATTAGTCAAATCATAGTAATATATTAATTTATGTGACAACTGTTCCATGAAACAAGACATAGTTTATGGCGAATACATATTATAATATATATGTAAGGTGAATTTATTTAATATTTTGTTTTCTATATAAAAAAATCTTACGTATATTTTTATAAATCGATGAGTTTTTTTTTTTGTTTCAATTTTTGTTTGTTTTTTTTTTTTTTTTTTTTTTTT